TAAATCACGTGAATATCACGTGATAATCGACGTTTGAAATTTCGGACTAATGCGGTTTATAGGTGACAGCCACCATATAAATAAGTCAAATTTTAATCAATTCTTATTGTATACCAATTGACTAAAAATAAGATAAGTCATATTCATAGCTGATTCTTGATATATGTTAATCAACTAGACTATTTTTGATGATTTGCCAATTTTTCACATGTCTGATTTTTTTGATTTTAAACAATGCATATTAATGGTAAATGAATATAGTTGTGTTATTCTGTTATTAATTTTTTAGACATTTAATAGTTTTTAGGAGATAACTTTTATTTTGATTAAAAACCAAAATAAACAATCAAAATATGCATTTATTGGTTTGATTTAAGTAAATAAGGTCTAAACATTACATGATATTAGTTAAAATAAGAAGTTTCAGTCACATGATCATTCAGCAAAATTTCGGTTAATCATCATATGATTCATCACAGTTTCAGTAAAACAAAATATCGACAAAAAAAAATAGTCTATTTTTAGATTATCAAAAATCGCTTTTAACTTATTAAACTTTATTTATTTAAGCTCAATATAAAGTTCACGATCATTTTCCTTTTTTTTAATCCAAAAGCTAAAAAACTTTCTTTTTTATTTCTTTTAATCAAAAAGGCTACATTTCAAAAAGAAAATGAAATGCTAATATTAGTTTTTACCACACATCACCTCCCATTTTGTTTACTAACTTACCTTCTTTCTTTTTTAGGTCTGAAGTTCAACTATTTGTTAAAAAAATTAAACTTCAAACTTCTTATCTTTCGGTATTTGCTAGCAACAAAATAACAATTGTTATCCTACAATATTAATGACTCAGAAAGCGAAGAATTTGTGCGCAGCTATTTTTTATTTTTATTACGAAAAGTTATACACGTGATTTATCCTATCTTCCGACGATCGATTAATCAATCACGAGGCAGTGAGCAAGTTTAAACAAGATGTGCGCCATCTTCTGGGCATTAAATGTTCTAGTATGAATCTCATTTATTTTTTATTAATTTTGATCGATTTATTATTATCCAATTAAATTTGGAGAGCATTCTCTAATTGTAGTAATTTTATTTGAAACAACTCCTAAAGCCCTTTTTAAGATTTTTTTTTTTTTTTTTTTTTTTTTTTTTTTTGACTAGTTTAGGGAAAGTAAAAAAAAGTATTGATTCTCAAGAATCTATTTTACAATACTCTGTCTTAAATTTTGGAAATTAAAAATATATCGTCAAAATTAGTCCAAAAAAATTTATGTAACAATTTTGTTCACCTAACATGAGCAATTCAAGCACCGCTTTTTCATGAGAAAATTCATAAATAATTCATCATCGATACAACAATAACAAAGAGTATGAATAAAAGTCTCTATCAAAATTACTTCTTTAAGATAACCCACATGAAAATCCTTATGTTAATCAATTGCTATAGATGGACGTACATCATTAACATATACAAAAGCAAGCGCCAAAAAGCGTGAGAATTTGATATGCTGACTATATAAATGCAACTTTCTTAACACAAATAAGAAAATAAAATAAAAATAAAGAAACAAGAACAGAATTAAAAATAAATACAAAACACAATTATTTTTACCTAAATTTGTTCGATGAACATGTTGCAATTATCATCAGAAACTCCAAATGCGACAGATTATATCGATATTATTGTCGATATAAGAAATCTCGGGTTGCTAAATAATTTAGAAGAGCATATTCCCAAAATTGTCGTATTCGGCAATATATCAAGCGGCAAAAGATCCATTATGACAAGGTTAACCGGTGGCTTACCAATGCCAAGGTAACAATATTTAATATAAATTTCTTTGATGTGTATATGTGTATATAAAAACAATATCATATCATTACAGAGCATCCACGACTCCTTACGAAATATGTATCCTGCAAACTGAGGAACCAATACGTAAAATCACATTACGTTACATAGAAGACAGTAATCGAAGCGTGATACAACCAAGAGAAGTAGAATTTGCCGATATAACAAGTTCGAGTAAAATGGACGTTGAAAACAAATTGCGTGACGCTCAACGTTATGTACAAAACCCAAGTATTATAGATATCAATTCACAATTGCCAAATGACCCAAATAATGATGAGTTACCATTTACAAAAAATTCTGTATGTATTACAATCGGTGGACCTTCGCAAAATTATGGTTTGTCTATGGTTATTTTACCAAGCTTACCAGGTAAATATGTGATATTACAAAAACAATTTTATTTAACGCGATAATAGTTCGCACCTTTGATCGTCTATTTCAGAATCCTTCGATGAGTGCGCATCCTTTACAATGTCCTTGATTGAGGAATGTGTTGAAAGAGACTCGGCAATTCTGGTTCCAATCATTACCGCAAACGCAGATATTGATACACAAATCGCATGGAGTCTTGCACGTGAAGTAGATCCGGACGGTCTACGTACAGTAGGAGTCTTGACAAAAATTGATTGTATTCCAATTGATGACGAAAAGCATTTAGAACTTGCTAATCTAGTAAAAGGTAAAAGAGAACATCATATTGCAAATGGGTTTTATGTTATAAGAAATCGATCAAGCGTAAAACCGGAAGAATCAGATGATTCGTTAGAAAGCGACACATTTAAGAAACTCAGAAATCACAGAACTTGGAAAGATGAACCAATCAATAAATTTGGCTTACAAAATTTTGTCATGAAATTAATTGAATTACAAGGTCTGTCATATAAACGGTCATGGCCAAAAATAATTACCCTTTTGGAAGATAAAATAGATTATTATGAAGAAATGTTAAATAGCCGTCCTGATAAACCTGTTGAAACTCCAACCATACGTTTCTTGGATGTTGATGAAATATTAAAGAACCTTCCGCATAAACCTGTTGAAAATCTAAGCCGTTTCTTTGAATTAATTAGAAATTTGACAGAGTTTTTACTAATCATGAATACGTAGACCATAAGTTATATCATGGTCAACAATGGAACTTTGGTCAATTGAATCAAGCATTATTATATACTCGTCCAAGATATAAACTCACGATTAACGAAGGGGTAACAAATACCGAAATTTTTGATCCCATAAAGCCTAATCCATTACAATTTTGTCTTAAGAAAGGTTTAAGTGACGAATGTACACTTGACGGATGGAGCGATTATAGCAATACACAACATATATTGACAATAGATCAACTTAACGAGGCTGTGCAAGAAAGTCAAGGAGAACTTTTGGATGGTAATTTTCCATATACAGCCGTAATTTCTATTGTTGAAAAACATCAAGAGGAGTGGTATTCGATTTCTGTCAAATTTTTTAATAAACATTGCGATTGGGTTGCTGGTTGTATTGATACATTAATAAACAATACTTTTGAAGAATTTCCAAATGTCATTCGAGGAATCAAGTAAGAAATTTATGCGTGTTTGCTCATGATTTATGAATGAAGTACTCATTTTTTTTAAAAAAAAAAAAAAAAAAATTAATTATAGGAACATTTTACATGACTTATTAAGAAAGTGCGAAGATGAAACGTTAAATCGTCTTAAAGATCTTGAAGAGATGGAGCATTTTTCAGCTAATAGAGCTCTTTATGTAACTGATGAAACCAGCCTTCTTAGAAAACAATCAAAATATTTAACCAAGCTTCAAGATTTTGCAGCCAGTTCCAAGCTAATGAACAAAGAATTAAAAGCAGTTCTTGAATTAGGGTCTGAATTATTTGACATGATGTATTATGATGAAAACGAAGAAGAGATTGATACCACTAGAAAAAATAAAGATTTGGATAAATTAATTCGTATAATTTCCACTGCCACGGTATGTCCTTTAGCGTAATATCGCGTAATATCACGTATTAAATATTGATACTTTTGCAAATTATATTTAAATCTTTTATTTTTAGGGAGCGTTATCATATTGGAAAATTTCCTATTCAAAATATCGAGAAAATGTTTCATATATAGTAGAACATTTTCTTGTACATCAATTTGCTAAAAATTTAGGGATTCATTTACGTACATATTTCAGATTATTAAGAACAGAACAGAATACAACAACTGACAATTTAAATTTGGAGAGTTTACCAGGTGAAGATCCATCAGTAACTAGCCAACGTGCAGAATGGCAAAATAACGTTAATGCTCTTTATGATATTATTGATCGTGTTCGAAAGCTTGTACAAGAGGATAGAAAGCGCCGCCCTTATTTTAAACTTAATTAAAATTAAATCCATAGTTCATGAATATAATCCTCAATTTATTCATAAGTACTTTGTATCGGAAACTAAATTTTATCTATGTATCCATTCATATATGCAAAATGTCATTTAACCTTATTTTTACGGCCTTGAAATATTTTAAATATCTATAAATAACGCACTGTATTTTATTATTAATAAAACAATCATGATTTACCTCTTTAAATTTGTACAACTTAAATGTTACGTAATTCACGTCTTTATAATTACTGCGTAATGCATCAGATTTCTAAAACATGTTTTGAAACTTGGCGAATAGTTTCCAGATAAATCACAGATTTATGAAGTTTTTAACTTGAAATCATTAATAATGATTTTATAAGCTCCTTCTCGAACATTTCAGTAGAATGTATCGAACGAATTTAATATTTATAATAGGTCCCGATATTCAGATATATACATGATTTAATGGTCCCCGTGACAAATACTTTCACGAAGAAATGAAAAATTGAGGGCATGGCACTGGGGTGTTCCATCAAATATGCGGAATTTAAGGATCATTTAATTTCTGCTGGATTAATTTCCATCGGTCGGTTAATGAAATTTTACTGAATACGATAATAAAAATTTAATAACATTTTATTAATATATTCATTTTATATAAAGCCTTTAAATATGCTAAACTTTTCGAAAAATTTAATTTTTATAAAGAAATCAATCATATAGAAAATAGTTTTCAAATAATTCATCTGCTATTCTGACTCTCTCTGCATCCAATTGTTTAAAATTCTACGTAATTATATTTTCAAGTCTAGATTACACAATGGTTGACGTTTTCTTTGTTCCCGGGACACAATAATACTATTTACTAATATTTTCGAGCCAATAGAATGTCTTGGTTTTAATTCTTGATTTCCTATCAAATTCAAGTGATGCTCTTAATAATATATTTTTAAAGAATAATAAAGCCAACATTATATATTAATTTATATTTGTAATTAATCGATGATTACCTCATTTAGCCTTTCAAAAATGAAATTTTTAGACTTAAGCCTTTTTTGCTTATAATCTCATCGACTATTTTATTTCCATTGAAGATTTACAATAAAATTTTTTCAGTATTTTTGTTTATGACTCAGTTTGCTGAGAATCTTTATTTTTTTTTTGTAGTTGTATTATTTTAAAAGACGAGGTACGTAATGCAAATTGTTACAGTTGGATAAACAGAATATTTTTTATTACGTTCTTTATGTTACACGAATTAATTAGATATATCAATCGGGACTACGGAACACAAATGAAATTATTTAAATAGAAAATAAATCTCTTCCCCCCTTCCAAACGATATTGCATGCGGTGAAATAGTTTAAATAGCGAAATTCATTATACAATGTTTGCGATATGACTTTATTCGTGCATTCTAGCGAATCGAGATTTACACCGGATTGAATTCCCATACTTTGGGAGGATCCTTTTTCCATTTTTTTTCCGAGATATTAATCTTATAATATTCTTGACATTTATTTGCAATATTACAATCAAGATGATAAAGAAAAACTAGAGCAACTTGGAATTACAATCAAATCACTCACATTTTAAAACTCCGTTATTTGATTATCCGAATTTCATTAAAGTACTTAATTCTGTTCGAGTCGAAGCGCACATTGGTGAGTAATCTTTATCCACATCCGGATGACTCATATCTTCAATTCTTTAAATCAAAATAAATCAATTATCACGGCACACATATAAATATCTTGAGAACATGGAAACACAAATAAACTACCGGATTTAGTAAATTGATATAATTTATTAGTTAAATTATTTATAAATGATACCGTTTCCTTAATAGTAAAGCAAATATGATTCTGATCCTATTACCTATATCCGAAATCATTTTGATAATCCAAAGTTTATGTCGAATATTGAAACACAAACGTTATACACACTAGATGTTTGAAATCCCTACCACCTTCAATTAAACACCTCAAAGCAATGCATATGAAGTGGCAAAATGCATCACTCCCAATTAGAGTTTGGAACTGGTTACATTTTTCAAAACTGAATTTAAAATGGTACAACCAGTTTGACTCGTTTCAAATCAGTTTTTACAAATCTGGTTGAAACTAATCTTTGCAATCGGTTTTATATTTGTTATAGCTAATTTCAAAAGTTGTGGATATTTAAATTTTAGTTTATCGTACTGTCAAATTGTTCAGTAATATCGGAAATTTCAGTGCCAATCAAATAATAGAATTACAGTATTAGTGCCAAAAATCGCCACAAATATTTTTTTTTATGTATTTTAAAACTTCTTTAGATAAACAATCTTTACCATAAGTTTTTTCTCATAGTAAACAAATGAGACAAATTGGACATGCATTTAAACGGAAGTTTAATGAATTATTCATTGTTAAAATTAAATAACATGAGTAAAAAAAAATTGAATATGTATTTATTTATATTTGATTGGTACTAACTGATTTATAAATTTGATTGGCGCTGAGAAATTTCTAATCATTTGATTGGCACTGATATTTTCTGACATTTTCTGAATAATCTTACAGTGCTGATAAACTAAAATTTACATGTCTCGCAACTTTTGAAGTTAGCTGTAATTATCAAATTTATGAAATTTACATAAAAAACAACTTATGAATATTTGCTTAAAAAAACAATAGCCATTGATTAATAAATATATTCCGCAAAATGATCTGCACTTCAGCACTTAACAAACTTAGTAAAATTTATCAAATTTTACAATACAAAAGCTTATGAATTTTGATTAATAATTTTTGAAAGTTTTTTCGGCACACAATGAAATCTTATTCATAAATTTTTGTTAGTATCAAACCGGTTTTGACATCCGGATGCATCCATCTGGGTCAAACCGAATGGTCAGAAAACTGGTTAAAACCGGATTTAAAACCGAATGGTAAATCCGGTTCCAAACTCTTTATTTTATTTTATTTTTTTTTTTATAAATTCATATTATTCTTTATATTTCCATATCAATCTTTATTTTTTCACGGCAATCGCGATGTATAAAATTCATAATACTCGTTATTTGTAATAAATTATAAATTTTTATAAATAAATATATGCTTATTAAGAAAACTTATAATTTTCGAGTTTTATTAAATATAATTGTATTGAAATGTAAGCTACGCAGTATTTGCAAGTTAATAGCGTAGCATTAGGTTAGGACGTGGCATTAGGGTAGGTTTGTTATAAAAGCTGGCTGCAGACCACGTAGCTAACGGCTGCGTAACATTTGCGATTTATTGCGTGGAATTAAGGTTAGTTCGTAGCATTAAAGTAATTCATATATTAAGTAAATTAATATATTGATTTATTTTATTATCAACTAAGCTACATCACGTGTATCTAAAATCACGTGTCTGAGGATTTTTTTGATAGTGTTCCTGGGGGTTATTATATCGCATATATATAAATATTATCAAATGACACATCATTGCTAGTAATATTAAGAAAAGCATATCTAGCGATATTTCCTATCACGTTTTCATCATTATCATACAACTTTTTGTAACATTCACTAACTTTATTGGACTTCTTAATGTTATTTAAATGTTTTTGCTGACTGTTGACATGTAATCTGAATTCTTGAAGATTGCATATCAGACTGCTGCGGTATGTACCCCTCTTAATTCTTTCATTTTCTTTAAAAGCTATGATGAAAATGAAAATAATAAAAATTCAAATATTTTTAAGAAAATAATTAAAAAAAAAATACCATGCTATAATGTTTTCCCGATTTTCTAATTCTTTATATAGTCTAAGAGTTTTGTGTTGAGCCAATTTTCCAGTCCGCTTTTTAATTCATCAAAACTAGACCACATGAAGGCTAAAAAATATCCAGTACATACAGTATTATATCCCTCCTAGTATATATTAGTATATAACAAAAATGGTTAAAATGTTAAAATATTAATAGTTATATAGTTATTTAAATTGATATAATTTTGTTTGAAAGAAATAGCATACTTACATTAAATACTTTTGGACTTAGAACTTACAATAGATCATTATCTTTATCTTTATTTTGTTTCTTTATCTACCCTTGAATCCATGTGAGCTTTTCGTTTGTTGACTTCTGCAATTCATACAATGCGTGAATTTGCTTTCCATGTTTTACATATTCTCCATGTATTTTTCCCATTTTTCACGTTTATCGTTACTTTCATGATGTTTGATTTGCCAGCTTCTTAATTGAACTTTGATGCCTTACCCTTGTTGTTTACCAATAATTTGTTTATCGGACAGAATCGATCTTAAAGAAGAACATTGCTCATCACCTATTGATGGTAAAATTGAAGTAGTCAGTCTTGAAGAAGTTCGTTGCTCATCATCAACTGATAGAGCATCATATTTTCTTGAGAAATTAACGGCATATTAGTAATAACGCTTTTGTTATTGTCTTAATTTGCGATAGCTAATTTGTTAATAATTATAGTTATAGCACATATTATCAAATAAACCATTACCTTTTCTGGTATTTTTTTTTTTTGCCATAGATGGAGATACTTTCGGTAACACTTTCCTCTAAATGCTGTCATCTATCTAAAAGACAATAAATCGAAGCATTAATATAATATTAATAATATACCTACAATAAATTTGATTGCTACTAGTAATAGTACCTGTTAATGTTAGAGATTGCCTTTTGCGATTACTTCATAATCGCCGTCCGACCCTTGTTGGTTATAAATATTGTATTTATATACGTTAATTTTATTTGGGTTTTCATTTTGTCTTTGATCCTCGTTATCAAGTTCTAGTTCATTTTTGTTTATAGCGTTTTTAGCTGTATTAGCTTTGGTCATATACTTTCGTTTTGTAGTCACTCTGTTCATTTTAATCAAAAACCTTTAAGAGAAAGAAAGCGTGAAGGAAAAAAAAGATTAAGAAGTTTCCTTATTTATATACTTTTCGTTACTATGTTTATGATATCGATGAAAGTATATATTATTTAAATTACATAATAAAAGTATAATCATATTCTCTTAAACTCATCATACTTAAAGAGTAAAATTCAAACATGATTACATCAGTTTCCTTCTAGATAATGCTAAAATGCAATTTTTCATTTAATAATAATAATAATTTTTTTTAAAAAAATCAATAATAAAAGATTTTCATAACAAAAATCTATATTATAATTTAGACTTTATTAGTATGGTATCATTACAAAATAAAAATCAATTTTCATTCAATACGTTCAATTAACTTTCGATATAATATCAAATTAATTGAATTAACTTATAAATATTTACTCTTTACACATTAAAATGTTATATATCCGCTAATCACCAATACCATTCTAATGAAAGTGAAGATGAAGAAGCAGCAACCCAATTAAATATAGTAGAAGAGCAAAATTATGAAAAAATTTTTTTAAGGGTACTATAAATGGGGGTACTTTGGTCCGTGAAATACGGTAGTAGAAGAAGAAACTGAATCAGCAAACTTAGAGAGCAAAATGTCAAATTTCCTGAAGCTTTACATTCTTCAATAGTTCCCAAGAAAATGATGAGAAAAATTTCTGTCGATAGTGTAACGGATGAGGTATCTGATGATATTTTAACATTTTTGTTAAGTATCAACATTGAAGATTATGGCGTCATAAATGACGAAATGTATCCACCAAATACAGAATAACCAAACGAAATATACTCGATAAGAAAATCGTTCGATTGGTCTCTTTTTACAGGTTTTGGCCTCAGATATTGATAATAGATTATCATATTTATTTATTAAATTTTAAAAGAAATTAACCCCTTTTCATTTCTTCTTTGAAGTTTATTTTTTTTTTATTTTATAATTTTTAATATGTAACAATAGAAAAGGAAATTAACGAACACATCTAAAATAGTGTAACAATAGTAATATTTGTAATAGCATAATAAAAATGAAATAATGTATAATAATTTTATGTAAATATAATTTCGGATATAAATTTAGGCTTTGGAAATATTTCTAAGTTTCAGAAAGGATTTCAGTTACAGAATAAGATTAAGCTATGAAATAAAAATCTGAAATGTTTCAGATTTTATAAGATAATTTTGCCCGGCATTACTAGCGTCCCTATATATAAAAGGAAGTCCAAGAAGTCTGACCTACAATAAATAAAATGCTGTATGAACTGTATTATGATAGATATTTTAACCCGGATTATTCATAGGATTATCCATTTCAAAAATTCTAAATCCGATCAATATACAGATAATAGGATAACCAGGATAAATCCTAGGATTTTATCCGTTCAAGTAATCTTTTCAATTTAACGTTAGTTCCAGGTAGGTTTTCAAATAATTTATTTGAATTATTAATGAAAGTAGCATACTTTGGATCGCAGCACTTTAACAATACATAAAAAAATCCTTAGCTCGTGAATTATACGTGATTGAATAGGATTAATAATTCTTTCTCAAAACTAACTTTTCCGCGCTTATGAAAACTTGAAATTGCATTTAAACATTTTTTATAAATTCATTTTAATTAGTTTATAGTAAAGCTTTGAATTAGTTAATTCATTCTATAACTAAATTTTACAAAAAAACTTTTTCTGTATTGTATAAATTATTAAATTCAAATTTTAAATTAACAGAGATTTCTTAGGTTCATACATTATTTGTGAAATAAAAACTTACTCTGATGGATGAAACCGATCATCTGATTTTTGGGTTAAATAATTAAATAAACAATATATTTATTTTTTTGGTGGAATTCATCAAATAGGTAATCTGTTTCAGCCAAAAATTAGTCTAATGCAACTCAAAACTGCGACGATTTCAAATTTTCCTTATGCAAAGAATATTAATACTCTCCGAAAGTGATTCTAAAGGATAAAAATATAAAATTGCAAAGCTTTATCTACGTTTTAACCAGAATATTGTTTATGATGGCATTTCTTTATTACGGTAGGTAGGTGATTAAACTTTTCGCTATTTTTGGTTTCGATTAATCGATTTTATTTATGGTGCAGTGATTTTTGATCACAATTTGAACGCGAACAATCATCAAATCTGGTAAAAAAAAATCATTTCCAAGAATAATAATTATTATTCATTACATTTCAAATTTTACATTTAAATATATTCTTCTTTGGTATAGCAATTATTTTTTAAAAGCTTCTATTACTGTTACAACATATCTGTTTTCCAGTTTTATTTTACTACTTTTCAGGTTTGATTATTCAGAAGTATAAGAAATGGGTATTTTATTACATTTGTTTCATTTTTTATTTTTTTCTGCCGCATCGAACGATTTTTTATTTCGATTTTTTTTAAAAATTAATAAATAAGCAGTTAGGTCGCTTCTTTATATGTTTCTTTAGTTAATTTTAGTTTTATTGGACCATAGGCATTCAAATATTTTATCTTTCCGCCCTTTTGACTTTTTTCATAATGTTTTTTCTTTCGAGTTGAATCAGTTCTAAAGGAAATGTTTTTTTATAATTTTTTCTCAAATATATTGATAAAATATATTATAAAGCAATGCTGTTAACAATTATGGTGATGGGCCGCACCTCCTGCGCCACTAAAAAAAATAGATTCGATTTTCAATTATCAATTAATTCATATATCATGGACAGTAAAACTAATTTAAAGGCTTTATATATATGAATGATTTCTTATAAAAGTCCATTCTCGTATAATATTATTACTTTATTGACGTTAATTTTGAAAGAACAAATCATAGGTAAGCATGAATTTATAAAACTTAATCTTCGACACATTCAAAATGTTTCTTTTGAACATCCAGTAAAAGTCGTAATTTAAAGCAAATATATTGAATTTATTCATTTTCAGGATTTCCATTTCAATCTAAATAATAATAATAAATTAGTTCAATAAATCCTAAATTAACGCAAAGAGTTTACATAAATTAGAATACTTACGACGTCCTTTACAATTACTTTTATAATGACCTTGACCATTACCATTACTTTTACCGGGACCTCTAACTTATAATCCTACATGAGTCAAAATAAGAAATGAATTTAATTTTTAATTTTTTTTTTTTTTTGAAATCGATAAGAGTATAATGGTTTACCTTTGTGTTCATTAATATCGGATTGCAAGGGAGAAGCGTTTACAAATGACGCAATAGAACAAATTAATGCAATGGTAACGACTAATAACGTAGTAGCTTTCGACAACAACATTGTGAGTATGAGATATCGAATTTTTATTTTTTATTTTATTTTTTGTTCTTTTAAAAGAAATATTGAATTGATTAAAAATGTTGAGCAAAAAGTATCTGAATTTATAGAAATTTCATGAAATCGCTTTTAGATTTTTGTTTATTCTTTAATAGGATTCAACATTCTTTATTTTGTTTTAAATTATAAAGATTGTTGTCTTTTCGTCATGAATACAATAAAATAGATACGATAATTATAAATATAACTTTAAAATAACAATTCCTTGGTGTAAATATAAAGAAAAAGTAAATGTTTATAATAAAAATTGAATAAATAATTTAAAATTTCAAATATTAGCGAATGCCGTCGTTTTTTTTTTAAAACGATAATTTTAGAATTGATTAAATATCATATCATATTTTAAGATTTGACGAGAGAATTTATTAAAAACTATATAACAATTTTATTTTTTACATAAATTTATTATTAATGTAACTTTTATGTAAAAATTTTTTATATAATTATGGATCCCCAGTAATTAAACGTAATTTGAAAAATTAAATTATTCATTGTCGCATAAAATAGCTCGAATAAATGTTTTTATTTTCGTGCTATTTTTTTTTTTTTTAAAGCTATTTGCATGGACTCTGGTTAAAAACCAATTCCGCCAATCAATTTTTTTACAATAATTACTAAATATAATAAGATTTTCTGAAAAAATTATACTATATTTAGTAATTATTGTAAATCAATTATGGCGTGGCATACTTGTTTGTTTGTTTCAAAGCTGAACTATAAAAAAAAGAAATCACAGTAATCTCCATTGAAATTTGCCAAAGCTTATAACTTTGAATCAACATTGCAGTTTGTTGTCTTTGTTTTCGTTTTATAATAAAAGA